GCACCCGCCCCACGCCCCGCCACACCAACACCCACCCCACCGCCCATCCCCACACCCTATCAGTTGAAGATTATAGTGATAAGGATATCCTCATCACCGTAATCTTCAACTGGCAGGGCGATGGTTATAATCTGAGTCCCGTACACCTATGGACTAAGGGAAAATTTTTAGTACTTGCTAGAAATTCTGTTTTTTCTCTATTACTATAAACTCTTCAATGTTCTAAGTAGGATCCTAAATGTTCATAAGCGCAGCACTAGCTTAAGGAAAATAATACGGCTCATACTATAGAGAAGATTCTGTTCACATGACCGAAAAATACATAATACTGAAGACTTGCACGAAGGCATGAAAAAAGAGTGAAAAGAAGAAAATGGAATGAGAAAATATTGGCAGAATGCAGTTGAATTAATTATGCCAAAAGTTTAATTAGATATCTGTAATATGCTGGTGGAAAAGTGATCATCTCTAATTGACTGTGTGTAAAAGGATGATTGTTACTGATTATCGGTCTTTCATTTCGATGAATTTTCTCATATGGAAGACACTCAATTTGTAATGGTGATAAAGCTGGATGAATTCGATGCTGCAAAAGATTATAGTGTGTTATTAATAGTGACGATCCTTCAACCAATAGAAAACGACTGTAATAAGAGGAAAATATGAATTACTGTAGTGTTTGATATTGTATTTATGATACAAACATACTATTCTAGGTATTTCCTTATATATAAGAAATTCTATTGATCTCTAGAGTACCAGCTATGTACCTTCCCTGGTGACGGACTTAGAGTTTTAAAAATTTAGGGTGTTAGTCGTGTGGTTGCAAAATATTTTATATCACAGTTACAGCCTTCTCAGATCTGTAATAAAAGAGAAGAAGACATTTTTTTAGCAAATACCTATGCTTTTGTTTCACTCTGTAACTAACGCGAGAGAACATCAACCCTCAGTCGGAAGCAAAATGAATAAAGAAAAGAAGGTTGCCATGTAATTAATAAGCGGTAGAGAAAAACTGCTGCCGAATAATTTTGATGCCTCAGGCAAAGCACACGAGTACAAATGATAGAAGAATGCCATAACGAAAAGAGGTCATTGGTCAGTATTCTGTACATTAATACAGTTAAAATATTATGATATGAGAAATTATTTTTACCTAAATCACTCTTGCTCATGTACACTGCTCATATCGAAAGTATTTGATGTCTATTTATTACTAATTGAGCATTTAAGTCTTGTACTCACGATGGAAGGTCCCCAAGTGTGAGTCTCCGTTTTGAATCGAGTATTTGCCATTTTGCAGAGCTCGGTGAGTACAGTAACTACGTATAAAGGATTCGTCTCATCGGTGAACTTTTCAGGTACAACGAGGTTCCATACCTTCTGAAAAATTATCATAAGACTCTTAACTGAAGGCCTGAATTTTAATATTGTAAGGACAAAACATAGTGCTGTTCGGGCCAGTCTGAGTTTATCAAGAATGCTCTTTCATATGGCCCGAACAACACCGTGTTTTGTCCTTATGGTAGGAAAGTGAATTTTTTTGGTGTTTGATAGAAAACGCTGTTTTCTATGAGCTATAGAAAAAATGAATTCTACTATTATAAGGATGCAACACATTATTATTCGGATCATATGAAAGAGCATCCTTGATAACCCCAGATTGGTCCGAATAACAATGTGTTCCATCCTTATAATAGTAGGGTTCATTTTTTCTATAGCTCATAGAAAACAGCGTTTTCTATCAAACACTAAAAAAATTCACTTTACTAATATAAGGACATAACATGGTATTGTTCGGGCCATATGAAAGAGTATCCTTGATAACCTCAGATTGGTCCGAACTACACAATGTTTTGTCCTTACAATATTAAAATTCAGGCCTTCAGTTAAGAGTTTTATCATAATTTTTCAGAAGGTACGGAAGCTCGTTGTACCTGAAAAGTTCACCGATGGGACTAATCCTTTATATGTAGTTACTGTACTCACTGAACTCTACAAAATGACAAATACCCGATTCAAAACGGAGACTCACACTTGGGGACCTTCTCTCGTCAGTTAAATGTTTATAATACTAATCTCATGCAACATTCTAATCGATTTAATGCTTTCATTCTTATTGTAGTAGCGAGATAAATATTAAGCATGAGAAGTCATCCAGTTTTATTTGCAAAATAGTACTTCGGTAATCATTTTGCAATAATGTTTCTTCATTCTGCTCATTCATCAGCATTCCTGAGCTTATTTTTTTGTTCGAATCTAAAAAGCATTCAATTAGTAATAAATTTATATGCAAAACATATGTCCCACTGCAACTCGACGACTAACTTCTTGGAACTTGATGGAACCGACTAGCTTCCGGCGAATGAATCCTATCGGAGGGTGTGGGTGTGGGCGAGTGTGGCTGTGGGTGTGGGTGAATATGGGTGAGTGTGTTTGTGGATGTAGGTGTGAGTCCTTCTTTCACAAACACACCTACACCCTCACCCGTACCCACACCCACACCCATACCCACACACCCACACCCTCACCCGTACCCACACCTACACAGACACCCACACCCACACCCACACCCACACCCACACCCATACCCACACCCACACCGACACCCACACCCACACCCACACCCACACCCACACACCCACACACACACTCACCCACACCCACACCCACACTTTTTACAAACGAAATCTAATATACGAAGGAATACCATGCTTAAATCAATCCAATTGATTACTAAGCTGATTCATGATATCATGTATTATTTATTCTTTCATATGTATGTAGCTGTACTTTAGTTCTGACACTTCTCTGTTGGAATACCATCTGTTCCACAAGATCACATCCTTTCACTAGAGAGTTAGCGACGTTTGCATTGCATTACTTGTTTCGTTTGCATAGGAAGAGAGATGTCTCCGTCAGTCGTTTCATTTCTTCTTCAACTACTACGGCAACAAACTGTGCACATTTGACATCAGCTTACAATAATTTTCAATAGCCATCACTAGTCGACAGGTAGAAGTCTATTTGTGTTGGTTAGGATATTTTCTCACACTTTTCTCCTTCGAATAAAGGAGGCATTTTCCTATTTTTTGGCATTTATGGAAGCGAAGTGGAAGTAGTCAATAGAAATTTTGAAAAAATAATTCGAACAAATGTAGCTGTTTGCTTTTGGATATTTCTAGACTTCAATGGCTTTGTCTTCATTTCTTTGTGATTGCTAACCTCGACATTTGCATTGATGAAGCAGGTGGAAAGGGAGCGGCCAGTGCTGCCAAAATTTCTTCAGCTTTTAAAGATAGCCATTGATTATCTCAGCATTAAAAATTGTTTCATTTCTGTACTTTTCTTTCTATGTGGAACTGAGCATTAAATTGAAAATAAAACGATTATCATTGAAAATACGATAGTCATTGATATAGAATAGAATAGTTATGCATATGGTCACTGTGACTGTCTCTGAGTGGCTATACCACCAGACAGAGTAGAATCAAGGACTAATTGGATTGTATCTGCTAATATTTCAGTGAAGTGGAGTGTGTGAAAAAGAACAATTTAAGTTGAGTTTCAGTTTTCGTTTTTAGGCTTTCATTTTGAAATCGTACATTTGTTTTGCTTTCTGTTTGTTTACTTTTTGTCTTGGTCATTGTCAATAGTTTGAAATTCTTTTTTTTTATAGTAAAACTATGATTTTGTTTTGTTTTTATAAAATGTGTTTTGTCTCAAAATTCCACACATTGATTTTCGATATAAGAGTCCAACACAAAACCATGAAAAACTAAGTTTCAGAACAACAACATATTGGTTTGGTGAATCAAAGTATTCTAATGTTTTCTACGTTTGTCATTAATTTCATGTAGTCAATCTTTTTCATATAACCTTGATTGATTTGACAGAATCTCCATTTTTATTATCAACAATATCCTTAAAAACAAAGCTTTCTGCTTTCGTTGAATTTAGGAATGGAAAGTTGGAGGTGTTCTTGTTTATAGAATTTTCCTTCAAAATTCATTTTCTTAGACAATACAAAGCTAAAGTTACGTTCTGAGACCCTTGAGAAAGGTCTAAACGATTTGTGGCTTCTTTGTTCTTCGTGATACATACACACACCCTACAAACTATACAATCGAAGAAGTAAACCTTCGCTATATGTATGTTAAAACTCAATTTAATGTATTGAATTAACTGATACACAGCATCCATAGCTCTAAATTCTATTCAAAACTAGAAATTCTACTATGAAGCAAAAGATGCATTCTAGAGTTCATCTGTCACTACTCGCTCGGTGTTTCTATTAGTAAATCGTCGGTTAGTTCCAAATTTAATTGAATTCTTTTCAAATACTCAGTCGTTATTTGTAATGCAATTCTTGGTCTATATTAAATCCAAGGTCACTTTCTTTAGACTGGACAGTTGAAAGAGATTTTTTCTTTAATTAATTGATCATGTTCATTATACTAATGCAAACTGTTTTCAACAAAAAAGGTTTTTCTCGACAAAGTAAATAATTCTAGAGAAAATCTTATATTTGTCTGGTTGATATGTATTGGAAATAAGAAATGATCTTCTTATTGACCAGATGATATAAATATATATATATATATATATATATGTTGTAATGGAAAGTCCTTTGGGGATGAAGTCTGCTTTATTTTTTAATTAAACGAAAGGTACACATAAGGCATACAGCACTGTGTCCCTACAATAAAAAGCATGCATATATACTAAATCATCATCGCAAATATCTAATGTTCAAATGAAAGGGCATTCGTATCAAGAATAAAGGTACAAGAACATAAGTTAGCACGAGAAGAAAATGGTCTTAGAAGAGGAGAGAAGTGACGTCAAATCCGGGAAAAAGAAAGAAAAAGGAGGAGAACACAAAGAAAAGAAGAAGAAGAAGAGAAGGAAGAAGAAGATACATCGAAGGCAGAGTCTTTACCAATAAGCCGATGTAAAGCTATCTCGATGGGAAACCTAATCGACCAGGTATCTTCAGGAAGGATGACACCCGTTTCAGCTTCATACGCGTACCATGCTTCAATAAGTTCCTTCAATACGTTTTCTTCCTTATGGGCCAAATTATTTAACTCTGCTTTATCTCGGGATAAATCGTATAATTCCCACTGAGACGTATTCCCTTTACTTGGCATCAGAATAGCTTTGTATTTTCCACGGCGAATAGCACGTTGAGCAAACAGCTCCCATCCTGTGAAATCATGATCGCTGTGAACATGTTTATGCTTCTTAGGTTTACGTAAGTATGGTATCCATGATTTTCCTCGGGGCGTAACAACGGTACGATTGCGAAATGTTGTGCCCGGATGAGGAACATTCGCAAGTTCGAGGATAGTGGGCAAAATATCCATAACGGTCGTAAATTCATGACTGACTTTTAGAGGCGACTTTAGTTTGGGATAGTGAATGATAGCTGGACATCGAATACCACCTTCGGTTATATAGCCTTTGAACAAGCGGCTAGGAGCAGATGATGCATGAGCCCATCGTGGATCGTACGCGATAAGTGAATCTTTGTTGCCAATATTTTCATAACTATTATTAAAGTATTTACCGGGTTCTGAGGGTGACGAAATTGGAACATTTGTCAGAGTGTTACCGGAAGCTCCATTGTCTGACATAAACAAGATGAATGTATTTTCGAATTGTTTGCTTTCTTTCAGATAATTCACAACACGTCCGACAGCGTAATCCAAACGTTCCACCATGGCAGCAAAGATTTCCATTGTTTTGGCACTATACGCCTTTTCGTCGTGTGTAAGTTGATTCCATCCTTCTTCGTCCGTATCATCAGGTGGTAAAGAAATATTGAGTGGCAGAAGACCCAGTTTTTGTTGGTTTTCGAGTCGAGCTTTACGCAATGCTGATGGTCCACTGCTATATACTCCTTTATATTTGGCAATGACATCTGCAGGTGCTTGAAGAGGCCAATGAGGAGCAGTGAATGGAAGATAAGCGAAAAATGGTGCTTTTGTTTTCATAGCATTGCGTTTCAAGCTTTCGATGAGTTCATTAGCAAAATAATCGGTTGAATAAAAGTCTTTCAGGGTTTTCTGGTCAATATATGTAAAATTTCGTGCATAGACTTGCGGAAAAATTGGAATAGAAATTTCATAATTATAATGATTTCCGGCTCCAGGTAGCAAGGCAAAACTATCATCGAAACCTCTTTGTGCTGGAATTTGGCTTGGGTTCATTCCTAGATGCCATTTTCCACTCATTGTGGTAAAATAGCCAGCATCTTGTAAAATTTCTGGCAGAGCAGCAACACGATTGTTCAGATAACCTTCGTACCCAGCTTTCCCTTGCCAAAACTCTGGCTGAAACTGCATTACTTCAGTCATTTGACCAACACCGGCAATATGATGATCTGTGCCACTCATTAGCATCGCTCGAGTAGGTGAACATGCCGAGGCTGTATGAAAGTCAGTAAAACGAATTCCATTGTCAGCGAGCATTTGAAGGTTTGGTGTGCTGATTTCACCACCAAATGGAGACAGATCAGACCATCCGAGGTCGTCAGCGACAATGATAAGAAAATTTGGTAGCTTGTTTATCTCCGATTGATGAGTGCTACTATCAGCGTGGACATGCCCTAGGAAAATACAAAATAATAAAAAATGTTTTAGAACGAAATGAATGTATTCGCTACAATTATACTTAGTATTGGCTTCTTAGTGTATGTTTTTCATAGAATATATTCTTCTCTCTTCAATACCATACTACTCAAGGTTCAGAGAGGCTTTATGTAAACCAAACATACTATCGTAAGCTATTTTCTCAATAGCTAACATTCGTACAATAATTGCTGTTCGCTAAGAAGGTATGATTCGATCATAGACTTCTTACAAAACGGTTTACAAGTAAATATGTCATCATTGTTTTTGATTCGACTTATAGCTACCGAGACAGTGGCGGATATTTTATTATAGAAAAGCTCTTTGCCTTCTTTTCGACATTTTTAGAGAACGACTCAGTATTACCAGAAGAAAGATTAAACAAAAAGCGAAACATATCGTGAAACATCTATACTTTTTTCTTTTACAGAAGTTAATACATGCGCTCAGCAAGATTATTATTTCAAAACTATTTGCACTTATAATATTATACATGACATATGATACATAGAACAATAAATATCGATTTATTCTTCATTTTGCTGCTTCAACTAACATATTAACCTGATCTCCAATTATTTTCTTCGAAAGTATCTATGAATTTCATAGGGATGTGTATCACAATTAGTATCGAGTACCTATCAGAGATGTCGACAGGGCAGGGTAAGGTAGCGCAGGGTGCAGGGCAGGACAGAGTGAAACCTTCATACCCTGCAAATTTAAACATTCCCTTTCTGAGTTTTCATTTTGAAAAGAGTGTTTTTTTTGTCTTAGCACGTCAAAGACCGAAAATGAGTTACAGACGGCGGTACCAGTGGTTCAGCTTTGTCTATTCCTGCAACAATGACTAACATAAAAAGAGAGTTTTCTACTGTGGGTTGAGTTCTAAACGAAAGAGGAACTCATCTTCAACCAAATAAATTAGAAAAAATTTCATTTACAAAATTAATAGAAAAAGGTTTCTATAAAAATAAATCATGTATTTTGTGAAACTCACGTATATTTTCGAAGAAAATAGTGAGTGTAAGTTTTAAGTTCAAGTTTTCGCAGTTTCTCTCCTCCCCACTACAGACACTTAGCAACGGAAGAGAACATTACAGACATACCTCCTATTACAGGCCTTCCCTCTCCATTACAGACCTCAGCAACCGCGCACAAAAGGCTTTAGATTCTATACAACACTTCAATACTTTCATAAATATTTGAAAAAAACTATTTTGCAGTTTATAAATGATGCATTAGGAAAACAAGTTTGAAGGATATACGTGAGTTCCACGCTTCAGTTCCAAAGGAGCTTCGCTAACAAGCTTTTTTTTCTTATTGATAGTAGCAGTCGTCTATTCGTTGTCGTTCTTTTTGTTGGACTTTTTTCAGGTCAATGTCTGTTGTAAAACTTGTGAGCCTAGGTTGCGTATATTGTGCCATCTACTTGTCTGGCGTTTAGAAATATTCATACATTTTCTTAGTTGAACTGTTTGTTATTTGTATTGTGAAATAGATTGAAATAAAACAATTTTCTATGATATAATACACAAACGCTGTTGCTGTTGAACTGGATTAAAAACCGAAATAAGAGAACATATCGATTTTACAGGGTACCCTACCCCTGCCCTGCTCGATTCAGACAGTAGGGGCAGGGCAGGGTAGATTTTTTATTCTTGCTTTTTTTGTTAACAGGGCAGGGTAGGAAAAGAACAGGGTGTAAAAATTTACCCTGTGGACATCTCTGGTACCTATAGAAGAAAAAACTTTGGATTTCATCCAACACATGACTTTCGTGCAAAAATACCAATTTCGAATAAAATTAATTATATTAAAGTATTGATTTCCACTTTCTATTTACTTGGCTCTTCAAAAATGTAATAAGAAATTAGTTAGCGTATTTAATCTACTGTAGCCTCTGGCTAGTGTTTGTCATGCTTTGCATGTATACGGGGGAAGGACTGATCGATTCAAATTCCTATTTTTGCATCTTCGTCACTTAAAAACTTACTAATCCGGTTGGTGGAAGCGAAAAGAACGCATGAAATCAAAAGAATCCATGAAGGCATGATGAATCACCCGCTGTTGAGAGAGAATATTGCCTGTACACAGATACCGTTAATTCCCACAATAATTTAATTAATAAAATATAATATTTAAAATGACCGAGGTCGATGTTTGACTTTCCAGAAACAATCGAATTTTAATTAATTTGCCTGTATACCTAGAAGAAAATAACACCATTTGGTAATTGTACATTATTTTTCTGAGTTCGATAGTAATTCAGAAAAGACAGAGAATTCTAACACTGTTATTGTTCCTGTCAGAAGTCTGTGACAAATGTCACAATGAATAAGATACTAACTTGCCTGTTACTTCAATCAGTATAATACTTGCGCTGAAAAGAACGAAAGAACTCTCGCTTATTGATCATTAAATATGAGTCGATAGAATAAGTTAGAGCATAGTAACTGATGTAATGAATGACTTCTTGTTCTTGTGCTTTTCTTTCATGAAATAAGGTTGTTGTACAAATTTTGCAAAGATGATAAAACAGAAATGTCACTGCAGATACCTGAACTACGAAAATGTCGAAAAATCGTCTTTTACATTAATTAACAGTTTAAGATGGCCGCTCCTTGTGATAATTTTCAGTCAGAAGAAAGTTAGTGCTGAAGGAATTACGTTGTATTATATTTCTTATCAAGAATCACATGTTTATATATGCAGTCAAGACAGAGAGAGAAAGAGAAAAGGAAGGAGAAAAGGAAGAAATAAATAACAGAAAGAGGAATTACGACGGATAACAGATGCATAGATTATCACATTAATGATTTTAAAAGTTCATGAGAACCATTCAATGAAAAACACTGACGTTTTTTCTACTATTACTATTTTATGTTAACTTTTCTGTGTATGTCATGTAACAGATAGTAGGGAACCTTAGAGGCCTATCATGAAGTTTTCCAAAGCATATGTAATTTCATTGTCATAGAAATTGCTAATCTTTCTCTTTCTCTCTTGGATTTATCTATTCGACTTTTCACATGCATGTACACATATCCATCTCTCCTGGAGAACTAAAAGAAAATAATCTCAGATTCCCTACATATAGAAAAAAGAAACTGACAATAACAGATGAGATTAAAGATAGAATAAGAAGCAAAAGAATAACCGACACACATATGTATACAAATATTGAGAATAGATGAGAAAAAAGAACAGGCAGAGAAAATAAAATAAAGACAATATATTAGAAAATGAGAAGTTAATGCCCTACTGTAACAGTTTACTATCAACAGAAAGAAGAAATGGCAGGAGCATATGTAACTGTTTGTATAGTAATTTTGTCTGTCCTTCTCTGTCTCGCATAATACATAGAACAGTCAATAAGTTCTCGGACTTTGAAATATTTATTCATAGAAAAAAACATTTTGCTAATCTTTTTATAGTAAATGCTCGAAGTAGTCCCCGTGATACTCAATACAAAGTCTCACCCTTTCAAACCACTTCTGGAATGTCTTTTGATATTCTTGAATAGGTATTGAATTGAGCTCTTTGAATAACACTTTAGCTAAACTTGTAGCGTCTGGGTATGCATCAAGGCTACGTTTCAGACAATTGAACAGCCAAAAGTCTGAAGGAGCAAGGTCAGATGAATATGATGGATGAGCCATAACTTTGATTTTTTCTTGTTTAAGATAATTAAAAACAATATCATTCATATGTGGTTTTTCATTATCATGATGCAATTTAACGTGATTTGCTGTTGATGATGGTCTTTTCTTGTGTAATATTTTAATTAAATCTTTTAAACATTCATCACGATAATATATTGCATTGACTAATGTTCGAGAAGGTACCTGATGAATAAGTAATGGTCCATTTGTCAAAAAAAAATAATGAACATTGTTTTTTCTTCGAATAGTTGTCTTCTAACTGCATTTGGAGGACTTTCTTCTTTTGCTACCCATGCTTTAGATTGTTGTCTTGATTCAATTTTTCGATGATAAAACTGACTTTCATTACCTGTTACTATATCACATAGTCGCCATGCACCGCTTTCAAATTTTTGTAAATTTTCAAGACAAATAGGGTGTGGGTGTGGGTGTTGGTGGATCACGAAAAGACTGACACCCACAGAAATGTTAACAGATCTTGACTTGATTGTATCTGTTAGGGATGGTTTTGCTACTGTTTCGAACTAGATTGTTCCAAATCATTTAAGAAAACATGATCTCCATTTAAGGGTCATCATGAGGATGACGATTTTGAACGGTTCTCGAACTGACCATTGGTCTCTAATTTGGCTTCTTGTGTTTGCAGCACCGATCCAATTCCAGATTTATATTCAGCGTCAAATTTTAAATTTTACTCCGGATTGACAATCTCGGTAGTATTTAGAGTCATTCATAAACGACTTTTAGTAATCATTTTTGAGCACGGATATTTCAGATAAGATCTTGGCTCGAAAATGTTGCACTAGAATGTACATCACATTGTCAAATCTTTCAATTGAAGATAATCGGGGCATATTTGTCATTACTATTTATTTCATAGTCATCATCATTTATTTTGCATCAGTGTTTTTGTTATTCTAAATGTGAATAACAAAGGTACAACAGTATGATGCGAATTATAATACAGAGTTAGGCTTGCGGAAAACGAATTGATAAGAACTAATTGGATAGAGAACAAAATAGTGAAATATCACAGGCATCGCACTTTTTGTCGAAGGTTATTAAAATGATCTTCAATCTCTTTTGTTCCAGAATCATCAGGTTCAAGGGCATGATGAGTAATATTGCGAGCTCGCTCAGTATATTCGATAGTTTTTTCATATTCACAAAGTTTATCTAATAATACTGAAATGCTATAAAAACCAGTAATCAATGATGGATCATTGGGTGGGAGAGATTTATTGTTCAAGATCAAGTACTTTTTTATTATATTATAGTGCCGCTGAATAGTCTTTCAGTAATGCATATTATTCACTAATAAACAGAAAGACCAAATAAATTTTTTGTCGAGAGCATTTCATTGTGGAATCATACTAATTATTTGATGTGTGTAGAAGGATTCTATAAATATAGAATTTTTTCATATCGTTCAAGTACTTATTTAAAAATAATAGATTTTATTCAATTTTGTTATATAATATGGGATTACAATTATCATCATTAAAAACAGAGACACCTATTTCTAATTTATCCATTTGTTCTTTTGTTAAAATATTTTGTTTACCATTGAAAACCATATTATCCGGCATCCTAAATGAATAAAATATCATTACAATATTATAAATGAATGAATTTCTTTTCCCATAATTTTTCTTACATTTGAATAGTCATTGCAGGTCTTCTCCCTGGTGTCATATTGGCATTAGCACCATGAATAAGAAGACCACTATGAAATGAAGCACTTCCTGCTTTCATTGGTACAGCTACTGTTGGCATTTGTTTTAACTCAGGACAAATAGCGAATATATCAGCCATATTTTTACCGATTTTTATCTCTGGAAATGTATTGTTTGATTCATAATAACGACGTTCTATAACCTAAACAAATCAACATAGTTTCAATCTCTTCATAGAATCATAGAAACGTGAATGATGAAATAGAGTTCTAACTTTTCAAAGAAATCATACTCTAACAAACATTAAACCTAAGCAAAATCAAAGAAAAAGACTAAATAAAAATAAATATAACTGAATTTGTTTGTTTATATATTAGATTTTTGAAAAAAAAAAAGTTCAATTAAGAATAAGTCTTACTTTATGTGATCCAGGCATAAAATACATACAACCATTTTCTAATGTTGAATCATCCAATGCAATCCAAACACTTATTGCATGCAAAGAAGTGAATGACCAATATGTAACATCAAAATGCCTTTATAAAGAGAAGAAAACATGAATATATAAGTATTATATAATAATTTTACCAAGCAGTAGGATTTGCAAATGGTTCTTTAATTAATGCTTGATCATGCCAAATTCTAACACAATCAATACCTTCTAATTCAGCAGCAATTTTTCCAATAACATTTCCACTTTGTAGTAATAGTTCTTTAACAGAATTATGTGTTTGCCATAAATTAATACGTTGCGTAAATACATTATCATAATAATCAAAATCAACATTGGTATGATCTTCTTCATTCGCTGTAGGCAATTTATACTTTCTTTCTGCACGATCTTTTACTGCACCAAATATAATTGTTCGCCATTGTTCAAGTTGAGAAGGAGAAAGAAGATTAGGTACAACATGATAACCATTTTNCATTACTACCGTTGACATTCAATCAGTAGAATAATCTTTATCTGCCGAATCTATCAACTTCAATTCTATAGAGTATTGAGGTTCAGATCGTTTACTATGATCATAGAAAGAACCTGCCTTCCATGTAACTGAAATATCAGTTTGACCACATGAAACATCATCCGAAATCAAGACCATTCATAACAAGGTGAGAGATTATTTTCACTTTCTTGTCACGCATCATGCCTAAACAAGTATTCATCAAAGCAAGGGTTCGACTATATGATTATCCATAACAATGAAATTCGAATGCTGACACAATTTTCTTTTCAAATTGTCTTCTTAGTTCAAAAAAGCATTTTTCATTGAGGCTATCTCGTTGCTCATTTATAATAGCACTTAAGTATCAAAAGATGGCTGTTACGTACATTATCCCAAGGACAACACGCAAGTACTCTCAGATAGGAGCACAATGGAGCAAACGTACAGTCAATTACCGAATTCCCATATGCTTCGCATTCGTTCTAATAGACTGAAAACTTGCTCTTGCACACTAGCAATGGAAATCTCACACGAGATATGATCAAAACAAAACCCGTTATTTGGGAACGCTCAGAACATAATGAGAATGTACGCACCTCATTTCAAGGATGCACATAGTTCATCATGCAAGTGTGTCTTACCATTTGGACTACAGAAAAAAGTCCTCTCTTGACTTACGGTGATCCCAGTTGATATCCAATTGAATGTGACGGTCCCATGAAAGCAATACGTTCGTCAGACCAAAGACTCAACCAAGCGCCAATGAGCGCTCGTTGTCGAGCCTCAGCATCGTTGTCATTTTTGTGGCACGCTCGCAGCGATTCGAACAATGTTCCTGCCGCTTCTCGAGCCAATACTCGAATTGGTAGCGGGGCACCGGACCTATATTGTTGCTCGACACAATGGTCCAGAGCTCGAATTCCCGCTAATTATAAAGATATCATTGTATGACTACCCAATCCTCAACTACTTACTTGAAAGCCATAAGCGATTTGGTGTAAACAATGACAAGGTGGCATCAAGTATTACAGCTGATGAACCGATATCATTGCTTAACTGTCGTGTCTTTTTTTCATTTTCATCTGAAAATAGTAAGATGATATTTGTATAGATTCTATTATGTCGACAGCAAAAACTAGTCGGTTGTCCCTTTAAGTGGTCACCAATAGTGTACGTATTGCATCAAATTTCTGCAATGGAAATGACTAAGACCTTCAAGCCCTTTTTTTTGAAATTTCTATAGAGAAGTCTCAACATGAAAAAGAAAATCCGTTGATCTCAGTAGCAGCAGCAAACCGAATGTTGCATATTGCACTGCTTCATGGATCTAACGATTTACTAAGAATCCTTAGAATTTGCTTTCGAAGTGGAAGCCTACGCTTTTTGAAATTAGTGCTTTTTTTTCACCAAGATTTCACAACATTCGCGGAGTATCTAATGGTCGAATGCTCTCTATCGAATGACACTCACTTACCAGTGTAGCCAGCGATGATAGTGTACTCTGCAGCCGAGAGCGTCGTTGGAATGCTGATTAGCTTGAGCAATCGACCGGTTTCTTCCTTGTAAATATAAATAATCAATTTGGCCGCATCAATCGGTGATCCACCACCAACTGCAATGATTCCATCACCACCACTCTTTTTCAGCTCAACCACGGCGGTCTTAATCTGCTGAATGGGTGAATGCTGCTGAATAGCTGAGAACACAGCAGCCACTTCACAGCCAGCAGCATTCTTCACGTGCTCTATAACGTCAGTTTTTGTTGCGAGCGATGTGCCAGTCACGATGAATGGTTTTGAGATGGACAGTTCACTGAGCACATCCGTTAATTTGGATAGTGAACCAATGCCGTATTCGACGCGTTCTGAAACAAAAACAAGAGCTCAATGGTGTAGTTTCCATGCAGTATCTATTTACTTAGGATGGTTGGCACGTATGTGCCTGAATTGGTACATTGGCTTGTAGAGGGTAGAATCGTCGAGGACATATCTACAAAAATATATACTGTGCAGTGATAGATGAGAGAAAACATCAATTATCGTACTATTTGAAACACTGCTATAATGGTAAGTGTTCGTTTGGTTTTGATAATGGAGAGGCAGGCAAGTGAAATGTTGAAGCGAAAGAAAAAAACAGTAGGCACATGTGACTGATAAGGAATAAGATCAAATTACATCTACGCACAAAACGAGAAGAATATTTTTCAGCATACTGTAGAATGATAAATCGTACTTTGGTCTAAAAGAAAAAATGTCGAAAGATAAATATGCCAACTTATTCAAACGTCGAAACAATACAAACAATTTATCAGTTGATGAGAAAAGATTCAATATGTTTATTTCATTTAGAGAATTTTTATTTATAAGAAAAAAATTTTTAACGAATAGCTAAACTGGGTGGGTGGGTGTGGGTTAGCGCACTGCGGTTCCTAACATTACCCGGGAACCGAACCGGAACCGACGATTTTACCGCAATATATAAAATACTGAGTCATTGAGTTAACGGTTCCAGTTCTGGGTAAGAGAAACAGAAAAATCTGGTCCTCAGTTCGGTTCTCGGTTCCAATTTTTTTGGAACCGCAGGGCTCTAGTGTGGGTGGTGGGTGTGGGTGTGGAAGTGTGTGATAATCAAGTAATGAACAACACTGACACCCACACTCACCACCCACACCCACACCCCACACCCACACCCGCACCCTATGCCAGGCACTTCCTCATAGTAGAAGCATCAATTCATTCTTATCAGTAATGAGAAATACATGCAAAAGTACAATCGCTAAAATACATCAATGAAATTTGAAACTTGTTGCTCGATTGCACTCGTTCCTCACCCTCTTCTATGACATAGAGGAAAAAGGAAGTGCCATCTTCTTATCTGGATGAGGATATAGATCTGTGTTATCATTTTTATTATAATCGGTGAAGCATCATGATAATATGACAACAGAACGGAGCAAAAGACAAACCGCTTTCGCGAGGAATCGAACTATACATCTTCTGCTTACCGGATAGGTGGAAAACGTATCTCCTCTCTGTCTTACGATCGGATGGGAACAATCCGATCGTAACAATGTGGATGTGGGTGCACCATAAAAGATTCGTGGATAA